GTACAATTTATCTATGAATTTGTTAAAATTTCCTAATGAAATAAATTTTATTAAGAGTATTTTAATAAATTTATAAAGTAAACTATACTTTTAATATATAATTCATCCTATACATTTTTTTGAAAAAACTATACATCAAATTTTGTTTCAAATTTTACTTAAAATTAATTTTTAAAGATAATTTTTAAATTTCTCTCTATAGCATTTTAAATTTATGAGAGATAAATAATATTTTTAAAATAAATATTTTTAAAATTTTACCGAACTCCCTATTATATAAGATGGGCAAGGCAGGGACTAAACTACTAGATTAATATTCACCAGGAATGAAAAAAAAAAAGAAAAGAAGAGATACTTGATTAATGAATGGTGTCAGAATTTTTTACCCTTTTTCCTTTCTAGATTCTAAGTAGCACTAATTTTCTGGGAAAACAATGAAAATAGGAAATGATTACCACATGCAGAAACTTGGACAAAGTCATCACATTGGAAATGATTTTTCCAGTCCGGACCAGCAAACCTTGTCTTCTACGTAATCCCAGTTAGTCCCCGGACGATGGACGATTAAAAAGACAGAGGGGGCCTTGTTTTGACCCAAAGCCAGGAAAAATTTGGACATAATCATTGTTTTGTGACTTTTGTCCTAAAATATGGGATTTAGATTCACTTAAGTCCCACAGGAGTTTTCATTCTTAAGGTAATCAATTTGAATGCTATGAAGGAAATCCATCCTTACCTACAAAATTATATTTACGCAAATATAACTATATCATGATTAATCAAGAAAACTGGGTCAAAAATGATAAATCAAGGGAAGATAGCAAGGTATATTGCCAAAGATCATCATAATTGTTTCCATCTTGCACCGGAATTTACCAGTTTAATATAAGCATTTTTGAAATCTTGGAAGAATGTACTCTGATCGTCTGCATATTTCGTGATCCATCTGCGCAAAGAGAGATAATGACAGTGAATGTATAAGAGGGTATGACAAAAGGATGAGACAAATGAGACAATTAGTTACAGAATTTTTGTTATGAGCTTTATGTTGACAGATTTATTAGTAGGAGAAGATCCAAGATGAAATGGGACTATATAACGATTTGGCAGATTAAGAAAGATGGACCTTAAGCATTCGTCGTCCTCAACAATGGCATGGTCTGAAGGAAGCCCAATCATGCTTGCCATACCAGCTACATCCAATCCAAGGTATATATAATTAGTAAAGGAAACAAGGAAACATCCATCATTAGAAAACCAGTATCAATAAAGACAAATGGAATCCATAATAACAGTGTGCTTGGATCCAAAGTTTCTAGGCAACATTTGTCTAAATCATTGTCATGAATGCACAACAATTACACATATCAGGCATTTTCACAAAGCTAATGGGTACCTTGTTTTCTGTGGTCTGCCATATGGGGTCGGGGAAGGGGGAGGGGGAGGGTGATAAAAGAAACAGGAGCTATATGCAATGATGAATGAGTACCATGTTAGATTATTTACTTGAAGATTTCCAAGGTTTCTCCAAAAGGATTTTGAAGTACGAATTATCAAAAACAGTTGGGTTTCCAAAGCCTTTACTCCCAAGAGTGTGGGCTCCAGACAAAGCAACCAACTCCTGTGTTCTGTGAAGAGGGAAAAAAAAGAAAAAAGAATGGTCAAATGATTCTTCAAGAAAGATATCATTATTATTTATAAGTAGTAAGTTTAGCCTCCAATAACTTATTAATTTTAATTTTAATGGACTTCAGATTTCTTAGTATGGCTGCAAGAGTAATTAAGGAGAATATATCCTGTTTATAGATTTAGATCTACCCTAGGTCCAACTTATCATTGAATATTGATAACAACAAGAGAATCTGAGAAAGAAAATTTATGTTACGAATAAAACAATGGGAAATTTTAAATTCGTTAGTCAACTAGTTTGGGGGAAATTGGAGGAGAAAGAGGTTAAATAGACTTCAATTATGTAGCGAGAAAAAAAAAAATTAATTGTAAATATACAGGATGCATTTTAAAAGAAAGTAGATATGATTTACATCTATCAGCCAAACATATATTCAGTTGGATGTTTGCAATAAGGTAAACTCACGAGAAGCCCTTTCTTTGAAAGCATTGCTTCAAACCAGAAGCATCAAGAGATTCTTCAGGTAGTTTCCCTTCAGGATCAGGCTCCCTATATATACATAAAAAGCAGCCATAAACAATATGCCCATAAAAGAAGCAGCTTTGATCAAATATTAGTAGCAAGTTACTACAAATTGATGCTGCAAAAAGTCAAAGTTAAATTTCTCAGGCAAAAACCAGAGCTGGTAAATGCTCACAAAAAATCTTGCTCCAGAGGATTATCTTGGTAAAGCATTTTTAGGTGCAGCCGTGCAGGTAAACATACGTTTTGCAATCATTTATGCCATGGCAAAAGGTTAACTCTACTCTCTTACAAAGAATCCAGTCTGCCTAATGGAACAGGGATTGCAGGACCTCCACAAACTGAAACCGCTTCAGCTCCACCCAAAGCAATCATGTCAGCCCATGATACTAACACAAGAAAAATCCACAACGTTTTAGCAACATATCATCTCCATTTCTGTAAAATTTTTCATGTGGCATTACAGATAGAAAAATTAACCTGGTTGTATTGCATCCATCTCTTTCTTTGCTTTCTCTAGAATCTAGACAAGAATGCACCAACAGGGGGGGTTAGCTGGTAAGGGGCCACATAAGACTTGATGTATGGATTCATATTCAAGAAATTTAGCTGGTTGCAACTTAAAGAGAAATTAAAGCTATAAATAAGATACCCGAGTACTATAACGTATGTGGGAAAATACATATGGCCTATGGGCATCCATGACCATATGCATGCATACACAACTAACAAGAGAGAGCACACACCTTCAAAGATTTTTTAAGGCCTGCATTTTCGGGTCTTTCAAGTTCATAACGTATAGAACCATTCATACCACCTGCATGAATAAAGAAAACCATGGAATACGACGGACCAATTCAAACAATTAAACATTTGTACATCATTATCTACCAATAAAACAGAATCCAACACACCCTTCAAATTTATCATCAAACATTGAGCACACTATTAAGCCTTCTTTTTTGACAGAACATATACCTGAATTGTCACCTTTTTCAAACGTTCCCGCATCATGAAATACTAGACGAAGTACACCCGCAGCCTTTCCCTTGGATACCACCTTCCTTATCTCTTCCTTTACAGCCACATAGTCACTCAAACCTGGCCTTCAGTTTCAATAAAGAATTGCAATGCAATTAACAATAAGTAAACCAAAATAGGTTCTGGCAATTGTAAGCATCATACAGGCATACATAACAAACCCACGTCGCATTAACAATTAAACAACTTACACTGCTGCCTTAGCACCAAAATTGTCCACAAATTCGTGCAGAGGAAGAACAAATGGCACACTGGCGATAAAGGTCAGTCCTTTTCTCCTAGTCGTTGCGTAAAATAGATTTTGCCCTACATAAAATACATAAAATTAAAAAAAGAAAAGACTTTGGTATTCGGAAAGCTAAAAGATAAAGAATTTAACTCCTCTTGTATTTCAGTTTACCTGAACCGTCGTTGATGCAGGAAGAAGAAGAAGAAGAAGAAGAAGAAGCGGCGAGGGGCTTGGCGCGAGATTCAACGGTTGGGGTTGGGCGAGAGGACCGTTGTGAAACGGAGGTGAAATTCAATTTGAATTCAAGTGAAGAAATTGAAGTGGAGGGAGTAAGGTGAGAGAAGCTCAAGGTTGTGGATGAACTCATCATCAACGGACGGTCGTAACTGTACTTTTGCAATTTTCTCACAAATTATTTTTTATTTATTCAGGAATTTGGAGGGTAATGAGTAGTAATCAGCTGCCGTTGAGTCCAGGTGAGTATGTAGAACTAG